GGAAACGCCCTGGGGCTGCACTGGGACCCTCCCAGTATGGACTGGGACCCTCCCAGTTTGGATTGGGACCCTCCCAGTTTGGACTGGGACCCCCCAGTTTGGATTTGGACCCTCCCAGTATGGATTGGGACCCTCCCAGTATGGATTGGCACCCTCCCAGTTTGGACTGGGACCCGCCCAGTATCGACTGGGAGTGACCGTGACGCCCTTGGCCCGGCTGGGGGGAGGGGCGGTGAGGGGACAGCGGTGACATCAGTACAGACACCAGTGACACCAGTATAACCAGTGCAGACCCCAGTGACACCAGTATGACCAGTGAAGACACCAGTACAGACCCCAGTGACACCAGTATAACCAGTACAGACACCAGTGACACCAGTATGACCAGTACAGGCACCAGTGCAGACCCCAGTGACACCAGTATGACCAGTACAGGCACCAGTGCAGACCCCAGTGACACCAGTATGACCAGTACAGACCCCAGTACAGACCCCAGTATAACCAGTGCAGACACCAGTACAGCCAGAAGCAGTGTCCCCAGTGTCCCCAGTGCCCCCCAGTCCATCCCAGTTTGTCCCAGTTTGTCCCAGATTGTCCCAGTTTGTCCCAGTCCATCCCAGTTTGTCCCAGTCCATCCCAGTCCATCCCAGTCCATCCCAGTCCATCCCAGTTTGTCCCAGTTTGTCNTCCCAGTCCATCCCAGTCCATCCCAGTCCATCCCAGTTTGTCCCAGTTTGTCCCAGTCCATCCCAGTTTGTCCTAGTCCATCCCAGTTTGTCCCAGTCCATCCCAGTCCATCCCAGTTTGTCCCAGTTTGTCCCAGTCCATCCCAGTCCATCCCAGTCCCGTGGGATGGGGGGGGGGGGAATGGGGGGGTCACGTGACCCGGCGATGCTCTCGGGCCGCTATAAAGAGCCGGCACCGGATCGGGACCGGACCGGACCGGACCGGACCGGGACCGGGACCGGGACCGGACATCGGCACAACCCGGACTGGAGCCGGAGCAGGAGCGGATCAAAGCCCGGGACTGGATCACGGAGCGGAGCCGGGCTAGGGACCAGAACCGGCCCCGGGGGTGGATTTGAGCAGGACCGGAGCCTGACCCGGATCCGGCCCGAACCGAACCGACCCGACCCGGATCAAAGCCTGGAACCGGAGCAGTGACGGGATCCGCATTAGGAACCAGAACCGGGCCGGGCTCGGCTCAAAGCCCGGCGCTGGATTAGAGCCGAACCGGAGCGGGGACAGGCACGGGCGTAAGACCCGGAGCCGGATCCGGGCGGGGGCGGTCCCGGGGGGTCCCGGGGGGTCCCGGGGGGTCCCGGGGGGTTCAGGGGGTGTCCCGGGGGTGGCCCGGGGGGTCCCGGGGGTTCGGGGGTCCCGGGGGGTCCGGGATGAGCGGGAGGTCGCCCCGGGGGTCGCCGCCGCGGCCCCGCCCCCCCCGGCGGGCCCCGCGGGCCGGGGGGGTCCCGGGGGGGTCCCGGGGGTCGCCGGTGCCCCCGGGGAAGCTGCAGCTCCTCGAGCGCTTCTTCACCCCCCCGGGACCCCCCCCGGGCATCCCGCCGTCCTCCCCGTCCGCCTCGCCCTGCTCCTCCTCCTCCTCCGCCCCCTCCTCCTCCTCCTCCTCCTCCTCCGGGGGGGGCTCGGGGCGCCGCGGGGCCGCCCCCCGGCCCGGGGACCCCGGCGTGGGGCGGGGGTCGCGGCTGCGGGGCCGGGGGCTGAGCCGCAGCCACGAGGGGCTGGGCCCCCGGGACCCCCCCCCGGCGCCCCCCGCCCGCCGCGCCGCGCCCGGGGGCGGCCCCGGGGACCCGCGGGGCGGGCGGGGGTCCCGGGCGGGCTCCCCCCGCCGCTGCCGCTCGCTGGAGGCGCTGGGGGGGCGCCGGGGGGGGCCCCGGTTCTCCCGGTTCCTGGACGAGCTGACCCGCAGCGTGCTGAGCCCCGCCGAGCTCCGCGCGCTCGGCTGCGGCCGCGACCCCCGGGACCCGCACCGGGACCCCCGGGACCCGCACCGGGACCCCCGGGACCCGCACCGGGACCCCCGGGACCAGCACCGGGACCCCCGGGACCCGCACCGGGACCCCCGGGACCCGCACCGCGACCCCCGGGACCTGCGGGACCAGCTCCGGGACCCGCACCGGGACCCGCACCGGGACCCCCGGGACCCGCACCGGGACCCCCGGGACCTGCGGGACCAGCTCCGGGACCCGCACCGGGACCCGCACCGGGACCCCCGGGACCCGCACCGGGACCCCTGGGAGCAGCACCGGGATCCCCGGGACCCGCACCGGGACCCCCGGGACCCGCACCGGGATCCCTGGGAGCAGCACCGGGACCCCTGGAACCCGCATCGGGACCCCCGGGACCCCCGGGACCAGCACCGGGACCTGCGGGACCCGCACCGGGACCTGCGGGACCTCCGGGACCCCAACCGGGAGACCCCCCGGGAACCCCTCTGGGACCTACCCCGGGACCCCCGGAACCGGCACCGGGACCCCCCCCGGGACCGGCCAAGCTCGGGGGGCCCCCCCGGGATGGAGGAGGAGGAGGAGGAGGAGGAGGGACAGGTAGAGACACACCTGGGGGGGGGGACACACCTGGGGGGACACACCTGGCGGGGGGGGACACACCTGGGGGGGCACACCTGTGTCACCTGGGGGGGGGTCCCACCTGTGCCCCCCGGTGACCGCGCTGTCCCCGCAGGTGCCGGGAGCGGCCGCCGGAGCGAGGGGGTGAGTGCGGCTGCGGGGCGGTTCTGGGGTAAATCTGGGGGATTTGGGGTCACTTTGGGGGTTTTGGGTTCAGTTTTGTGGTTTTGGGTTAAATTTGGGGGGTTTTGGGTTCAGTTTTGGGGTCCTCTTCCCCCCCAGGGCCCCCCCGGTGCGGGCGGAGCTGAACGAGCTGCGGGAGCGGATGGACAGGTGAGGGGGGAGGGGGATTGTCTGTTCCCAGTCCCTCCCAGTGCTCCCAGTTTGGCTCCCAGCCCCTCCCAGTGCTCCCAGTTTGGCTCCCAGCCCCTCCCAGTGCTCCCAGTTTCCCCGCAGGCTCCGGGCCGATTTCGATCTCTCCCAGCTCCGGACGCTGCGGCTGGAGCGGCGCCTGCGGGGG